GCCTACAATTGTGTATGCATTGGCCCAATTCTAAGGTGAAAATAAGAGTATGGTATGGGGTTGATGCTCCCCTGTTTAGTGTTGTCAAGTGCCAACATGACATGAGGGGGAGAAAGTGAAGCACAAGAAAAAAATCATTCTTCCCCCTTTTCAATTTTTATAAACAAAAATAGATATATTTTCCTTTGGGCCCATTAGTATTGTTTTTTGATATATATTAACTCCTATTCACCATCACTATCTTTATTTTTCACTCTTAGATAATAAAATGATTTCTTTGCTTGGGTCTGTCTTTATTCAGTTTTTTTTCCTTGACAAATAAGGAAAACATGGATACAACAGAAACATACATGTGTGTAACACATACAAGAACCATCTCATCTGATTGATAATAATAAGCGCACACAATTTTTTAAAAAGTAGACAAATTTCATTTAAAAGTGACAGTGTACCCATTGAGCATATAGTTTTGTCTTTTGTAAATCAAATAAGGGGAGGGGAGGTTAAAAAAACCAGTCTATGAATTTACAGCAATACTTCCTCTTTGAGCCTAAAAAAAGAATACGAGATGAAAAAATTCATCATAGAATAGCCTGAAAAGTGTATAACTTGCGGGATATCACGAATCACACGTAATTAGCATGACATTTCCTGGCTTTGGTGCTGTATAAATTTTTTAGGATCACACATTTATTGCGCTATAGTCTTTGTGCCATTAACAATTCAATCATGCATGCTTCAATTTCCTCAGAGGACAGGCATAGTGTTTTCCATAAGGTGCTCATTAGCTTGAAAACTCTGGTTGACACCAACAATCAACCACTGGCATTTCGAGGAAGACCAGACGTATTTCTGCATTCCATGCTCAGCCATGGCATCATGTCACGTATCATTGCAGCGCCATGGGAGAGAAATATCCCCACATCAAAAGTACTGCAACAAACGTTAAGACCCAAACACTAACTCTTTTAAAGATGACAATGGTGAAGTGTATCCGTACACTTTGCTGTCTCTCCAAAGAGTGATTCCTATTGCAAGGCCAAAAGCTCTCAGCAGATTGAATGTATTCAAGTGCCAGGAAAAAGTTTAAGCTATGGAACTATTGGGTAGCCAAATTAGAAATTGATAGACTACCTATCCAGGCGACTAAACCAACAGTCGCTGCCAAGAAGAATTCCTTGCTAATATTGTTAAAACTGAATCCACAATACAATGCCTCACTTAGTAAGCCACTCAAAGAGCCTTAACATATGCAGTTACTCATGAAGATTCATCAAACCCCAAACAGCTTACCAATACAAGCATATGAGGTTCCCCCGTCAATAAAATACTGATGCCCAACTCGAACCAGTGAACCTGCATCAATTATTGTCAAACCATCCATTGTTGTTCTCTTATGTTACAGTCGGTTATCAGAAACACATCTATTAATCATGTTATTAACACAAAAAAGTAACAGATTCAAAGATTTGGCTGGTATTTACGGATAAGACTTGAAAACTTGGCTAATATAGTTATGTACCACCTATCATTGGATTCGGTAATTACAAACTTTGCAAATGATTGGAAGCGCGTATTACTCTTATCTATGATCAAAACTAATCAAAGAAAATTCAAGTTTATGATAGGTACATGCCATAATAACTTCTTCACACAAATATTCTCGTAATCCAGTGCGTAGGATTAGTAAGTCGCCTCTTACATATTCTAATCAATTGAGCTATAATTGTTCCTCACAACTATTTGCTTCATGGAGAGCATTAATCTGCATAAAAAGAGACGATAAATGACTTTGTACAGGCTCACATGTGATGCACAGAACAAAGCATCATGTAGAAATCAATCAAATGAGGCGCCCTACATACTAAGCGCAACCATAAACCAATCAAGTGGAATAAAATTTTATATACCTTTGTGTACCTTCTAATCCTAATTCCTTGATCTTTTCTGACAGTGGCATAATAGGCTCAGTGACAATATAGATGGTAACCTTGGTAGTAGAGCCATCAAGAGTTTTTGCTTCAGTTGTGTGAAGAAATGATAAAATATTTGGATGCCTGACCTGGAAGGAGCAAATAATAGCTCATAATGCAACTGCATTTGGAACCAAACCAATCTAAGATAGTAGCATGACATAAATACTCGCAACAAAAAGAAGCACGACAAACTAAAAGAGTGGCACTTGTTCAAGATGATTTTATTTTCTTATCCTAGAATGTAGTCAATGCAATTTTCACTGACAAAAATACTAATAACTACTTGAAGAAAATGATGAAAATAAAAAATGGGTATGAAACTTCAACCTCGATAACTACAGAATTTTCAGAACTGTAAGTTCAGAAATGATCTGCATCTGTAAACCAATTGTACTCCCAACTCCCAAGCACCGGAACAACACAACTAGATACATCGGCATGTTCAGTTGAAAACTGAGTCACAAATTAGATCTTATCAGATCTAAAAGTACAATCATGACAGGATGTTTACAGACCTCCTTATTTGATATTTTCAACACACGCTGTCCAAATAAAATCCTCATCTAAAATTATATGTGCCTCTATCTAATTATATTATTCGAATTTTCGTTTTTGATTCCTAGGTGTGTCTAGAATAGTTTATATTATAGTAAACTGACTATGAATTTCCAAATATGCTTTTTGAACATCACCAAAAATCACTCTAAATTTTGTTGACATGCACAGACATCTTTGTACTCCAGTAGCTATGGCAGCCCATGAATCACCCAGTCCACCTAGAGCTAATTTATTGTGAATAAAAACAAAATGAATTGCATGTCATCAAAATCCATAACTACAAGGTTAAGAAAAATGAGTCACGAGTGCATCTAATTGTAACCTATAAACAAAGGAAGAACCATATTATGCAAAATATTTTCAATTTTTCCTCCACTAGAAGCTTACCGTCGGAAGACGCTTGACACCATTACGACCAGCAGCTAAATGTCCATCATTGGTACTGGTTCTCGAAAGAGAAAATATAGACACTGGTGACCCATCATCCTGAAAAAATGAAAAAACCTATAAGCAGAAGTGAACCAATTCTATCAGAAGCACACAGAGGGAAGAGGAAAAATAAAATACTGCATAGCATTCCTAGAAATAGATCACTTGTTCTTCTTGAAATCGATCGATTTCGAATTCTTGAAATCGATCTTAGGGTTAGGTTCAATGCTTGAATCGATTTGGCTGAAGGCGTGAATGGTGGAATGGTCTGGTTGAGACACACTCACGGGTCCCTTCCTAATCTGCCTGAGACACGCAGCTCTTATGGAATGGTCGAAGGTTCAATGCTTGAATCGATTTGGCTGAAGGCGTGAATGGTGGAATGGTCTGGTTGAGACACACTCACGGGTCCCTTCCTAATCTGCCTGAGACACGCAACACTTATGGAATGGTCGAAGACGATCGACTTCGTCTTTAGGATTAGGATAGAAGTGCCAAAGCGTAATATCAAAGGATAAAACTGTAATATGATAGGATAAATAAGCGTAATTATACACAGGATCGGTCCACATTCCTACGGCCGGTCTTAGTTTAAATTACACTTACACCTCTAAACTAGAACAATATTTTCATTTTGTTCCCAATGTAACCCAACATAAATTAGTAACATTCAATTGATTAAATTAACATTCAAATTCATCAAATTAACATTTAATTCATCCGATTAATATTCAATTCATCAAATTAACACTAAATCGACATTCAATTCATCCAATTAACACTCAATTTATCAAAATTAACATCCAAAACAATCCAATAAAAATTTAATTTATCAAATCAACAACAAAGTAATATGAAAATTAATCAAATAAACATTTAATTCATTAACTCAATGATAAATTAACATTAAATTTCATCTAATAAACATTCAATTAATAAAATTAACATTTAAATTCAAATATTAACATTAAATTCATCAAATACATATTCATTCGTCAAATTAACACCAAATTTATGTTCAATTCATGAAATCAATACCAAATATATATTCAATTAATACAATTCATATTAATTTAGTGTTAGTTTGATGAATTGAATGCTAATTTAGTATTGATTTGATGAATTGAAAATTAATTTTGTGTTAATTTAATGAATTGAATGTTTATTATACGAAACGAAATGTTAATTTGTTGAATTGAATGTTAATTTGGTGTTAATTTGATGAATTAAATGTTTATTCGATAAATTTCTATATTACATTGGTGTTGGTTTGATAAATTGAATTTTATTAGATGATTTTGGATGTTAATTTGATGAATTGAGTGTTAATTGAATGATTTTAAATATAAATATGATGAATTGAATGTTAGTTTAATATTAATTTGATGAATTGAATATTTATTTGATGAAATTGAATGTTAAGTTAATTTGATGAATTAATTATTTATTATATGGAATTGAATGTGAATTTGATGAATTGAATATTAATGTTGTGTTAATTTGATGAATTGAAAGTTAATTTAGTGTTCATTTGAAGAATTGAATATTAATTTGGTATTAATTTGATGAATTGAATATTAATTGGATGAAATTAAATCTTAATTTGATGAATTTAATTTTAAATAGTTAATTTAATGAATTTAATGTTTATTATACGAAATGGAATATTAATTTGTTGAATTGAATGTTAATTTGATGTTGATTTGATGAATGAAATATTTATTCAATGAATTTTTATATTACATTGGTGTTGGTTTGATACATTGAATTTTTATTAGATGATTTTGGATGTTAATTTGATGAATTGGATGTAAATTGGATGGATTTGAATATATATTAGATGAATTGAATGTTAGGTTAATTTGATGAATTAAATGTTTATTAGATAGAATTGAATGCGAATTTAATGAATTGAATATTAATTTTGTGTTAATTTGATGAATTGAATGCTAGTTTAGTGTTGATTTGAAGAATTGAAGCAGAGGAAGTGAATGTAGGAAGAAGAGGAAGACTGAGGATAGAGTAAAAGGAAAAAGGATGGAAAAGGAGAAAGGTAAGGAGCAAATTGTTCCGGAGAATATACCAGAAGAAGAAGAGGTTGGGCAGAAGGTTAATGAAGTTGTTTTGGATCACAAACATGGTGTGGATGGCAATATTAATCTAGAATCAATTGGTACTGAAAAATCAACATGCAACATGAAGAGTGTAGGGTTGATACAGACCCAAGACAGGAAGCAGAAGAGAAGTCCTAAAAAGATTAGGGTACAAAAAACTAGAAAATTAAAAGTGCATAAGAAGAATTATAAGAAGAGTATGACTAGGAAAGAGAAGCAAAAGTGGATAATCAAGCAATCACTGAGAAAGTCTAATGGAAATGAGGATGGAATAATGTTGGTTAAGCCGTCAAATTTAGTTAACAATGTGTAGCTATTATCTCAAGACTTACCAGACCATCAATTGGGCAAAGTAGGGGAGGAGGCAACTCAAATTTTAATGAATTTTGAAGATGTTGATCCTACAGTAGAGGTTACGAATATTCCAATTAAGCATTTTGAGGATTCTTTGTTTCATGATTCTGGAATGATTACATCTAACAAGTCTATGAGAAAAGCCTCTTTCAACTTGCTTAATCTGAACAATGAGGATGTTGAGGTTGGTGAGATTTTTTCTAGTTCAGATGATGATACTGATTATGGTATTGAAGATTCTTTGAAAGAAGCTTCCATTGATTATTCTTTGCACAAGCCAAAGTTTGTTACCAAGGAAATGATGGAGGAAGTTCATCAGCAACTCCACAGTCAAGCGGAGTTTAATCCAGAAATGTCCAGGGATGAGATACATCAGGCATTGAAAATCAAAGGACATTTTTTCAAAAGATGACTATGTCAAAAAACCAGCTGTTCATGAAGACACAAGAGGTTTTTATTCTGATGGAGAGGAGGATGTTTTAACGTCTACATTTGACTGTGAATCTTTTATGGCTACGTCCAAAAGATTGCTGAGAAGACTCAATATTGCGGAGGAGAAAAGAAAACAAAAAGAGGAGAGTCTAGCTACTTTGGCATTGTAATTGTATAATGTTCCAGTTAGGGAAGAAAGTTCGGGGATGATGACTACGTCCAAATCCAAATCCATGCTAGTGTTCAAAATTCCAAAGCAGACTAACAGATATGGATTCAGGCACTAATGAAACTGATCAAGCATGATTCTAGGCAGAAATACTAGGTTCTTTTGAGGAAGATTCTTTTCTTGGCTCAGCAGATTAAGTTTTCAAGATTTAAGGAGATGCTGCTTTCCCTTGGGTTGCCTTTGATGCTGTCTGTTCTCATTCAGCTGGATTGTTTTTGCTCTGTTCATGTTCTGTTCAGTTGGTTTTCTGCGCATTCCAGCTGGGTTGCTCCTCCCATTTGTCTGGTCTCACTCTGCTGGGTTGTTGTTGCTTTCTCCAGGGGCTGCTCAGCAAGGTTTTTCACGGTTTTCTTGCAGTTGGTTCTCAGCTGGATTTCCAGCTGGTTTTTCTGTTTTTCAGCTGGGTTTTCAGCTAGTCTCATGTCCTTTTGCGCCTCTAGCTGGTTCATTGGTTTTGGGGCTTCAATGAGGGCTTTCCAGTTGGAGTTTTTTCTGGATCTTCAACTGTACATTCAGCTGGTTTTTTGCTGGCTTTCATGTCTAATTTTTAAGATGTTTTTTTGTCCTTTTTGTAGGACTTAGGCCAGCAATGGCTTCTCCCTTTTTTGTTAAAGCCTTGCTTCTTGTAATCTTGGCTCATTTCAATATATTTTCTCTACTTTTAAAAAAAAAATTGTTAATTTGATGAATTGAATGTTAAATAGTTAATTTAATAAATTGAATGTTTATTATTCGAAATGAAATGTTAATTTGTTAAATTGATTTGATGAATTAAATCTTTATTAGATAATTTTTTATTTTAAATTTGATGAATTCAATGTTCATTTAATGAATTAAATATTAATTGGAAGAATTGAATTTTAATTTGGTGTTATAATTCAATTCAAAAAATTCCAAAAGTTATAATACAATTCAAAAAATTGAAATTTCAGCCAAAAAGTTGAAACCGTTACTCCCAAGAGTTGGAACCTCCAAAAAAGTTGAAACCCCTTTCAAAAGAGTTGAAACTTCTACCTAAAAAGTTGGAACCCTAGATAAAAAAGTTGGAACCCCTACCCAAAAAAATTGGAACCCACCTCAAAAGAGTTACAACCTCTATCAAAAAAGTTAAAACCCCTACCGAAAAAGTTGAAACCCCTCCTCCAACAGTTAGAATCCACACCAAAAAAGTTATAATTCAATTCAAAAAATTGAAACTTTAGCCAAAAAGTTGAAATCTCTACCCTTAAAAGTTGGAACTCACCCCAAAAAAGTTAGAACCCCTACTAAAACAGTTGGAACCCCTACCGAAAAAGTTGGAACCCCTTCTCAACAATTAGAACCCACCCAAAAGGTTATAATTCAATTCAAAAAATTGAAAACCTTAGCTTAAAAGTTGAAACCTCTATCCCAAGAGTTGGAACCTCCAAAAAAGTTGGAACTTCCCCTAAGAGTTGGAACCCCTACCCAAAAAAGTTGGAACCCACCCCAAAAGAGTTGGAACCCTTATCGAAAAAGTTGGAACCCCTCCCCCAACAGTTAGAACCCACACCAAAAAGTTATAATTCAATTAAAAAATTGAAACCTCAGCCAAAAAGTTGAAACCTCTACCCCCAAGAGTTAGAACCTCAAAAAAAGTTGGAACCCCTCCAAAGAGTTAGAACTTGTACCTAAAAAGTTGAAACTCAAACCCAAAAAAGTTAGAACCCATCCTAAAAAAGTTGGAATCCCTTCCAAAAAAGTTAGAACCTCTCCCCAACAGTTAGAACCCATCCTAAAAAGTTATAATTCAATTCAAAAAAGTTGAAACCTCAGCCAAAAAATTGAAGCTCTATCCCCAAAAATTATAACCCTATCTAAAATAGTTAAAATTTCACCATAAAAGTTGGAACCCTTCCCCCAACCATTAGAGCTCATCCTAAAAAGTTATAACTCATTTAAAAAAAAGTTGGAATTCCTACCAAAAAAGTTTATTTGATGAAATTGAATGTTTATTTAGTATAAATTTAATGAATTGAATATTAAATGTTATTAGATAAAATTGAATGTTAATTTGTTGAATTGAATGTTAATTTGGTGTTGATTTGATGATTTAAATCTTTATTAGATGATTTTTTATTGTAATTTGTTGAATTGAATGTTAATTTAATGAATTAAATATTAATTGGATGAATTAAATTTTAATTTGGTGTTAATATGATGAATTGAATGTTTATTTGGTATAAATTTGATGAATTGAATATTAATTTGGTATTGATTTGATGAATTAAATGTTTATTAAATGAAATTGTATGTTAATTTGACGTTGATTTGTTAAATTAAATCTTTTTTGGAGGATTTTCGATGTTAATTTTATAAATTGAATGAATTTGAATATAAATCGGATGAGATTGAATGTTACGAATTAAATATTTATTAGTTGAATTTTAATGTTAATTTAATGAATTAAATATTTATTAGGTAAAATTAAATGTTAATTTGAAGAATTGAATGTTAATTTTGGTACAATTTTTTCCTCTTTCTTACAAATTTTTTGCATCTTTTTTTGTGGGTTACAACTTTAATGGTAGAATTACAACTCTTTTGGATAGGTACACCTTTAATGGATAGGATACAACTTTAATTGAAGGATTACAACTCTTTTGGATGTGGGTTAACCTTAAATGGATAAAGTACGGTAGGATTACAATTCTTTTGATGTGGGTACACCTTTAATGGATAGCGGAATAGGATTAACACTCTTTTGGCTGGGCGTACAACTCTATTGGCTGGGGTACAACTCTTTTGGATCTGTTACAATTTTAATGGATGATTATAACTTTTTTGGATGTGAGTACAACTCTATTGGATATTGTACAACTTTTTGGATGAGATACAACTCTATTGGATCTGGTACAACTTTAATGGAGAGTTACAACTTTTTTGAATGTGAGTACAACTCTATTGGATATGGTACAACTCTTTTGGATGAGGTACAACTCTATTGGATATAGTATAACTATTTTGGGCTAGGTACAATGTGTTACAACTATTTTGGGCTAGTACAACTCTTATGGGTTAGGTACAACTCTATTGGATGTGTTACAATTCTTTTGGGCTAGGTACTATTTTTTTAGAATGACCGATTTCACCGGTTTGAAAGAGTTACGTGTCACATATACAACCCATCTTACTTTTCGGTAGCATACTGAAAAGTATGTTGGCGGTATAATAGTGTTACCCTTTTTTGACGGAACTGACACTGAGGCAATTAAATATAGCAGTAAGTTAGAAGTGTTTGGTGGCTGCTTTTTCCACTGCTGGCACGTGATTTGGCCCCCTATCCTGGTTGCAAAGCATTTCATCTTGTCTTGCTTCATGTCATTTGTGGCATCTATGGAAAAATTTATGTTTTGTTTGGAGGCTCACATTGCAGCAACATAGAGAATAAAGTGACATTGGAGGCAAGGAAATAGCTCCACATTCTTTTTTTTTACTGTTTCAATTCCTCAAAATACCTGCAAATTATATTTACTTAGCATTTAGACCATGTGGTGAATCCTGAGTTGTGTCACTTCTACCACACGGACGTTTCTTTGGCTGTCCTAGCCTTTCAAGATATTAATTTTTCCTCTAGAAGCCCTTCAAAGATGGTGGAAGTGATCATAAAAATGACACTTCAATCATCCCATCGGACCAAGACTAAGAGGATGAATAATTTCCACTGCTAGCAGCATATGGTTTGGCCCTCTATCTTGTTTGCATGGCATTTTGTAGTATCTTGTTTTGAATCTCTTGTGGAATCTATTGTAGAATGTTTATTGAGTTAGAAGGCTTGCATTGTAGCTACATCGAGAATGAACTAACATTGGAGGCAAGGTGGGAAGAGTCTTGCATTCATTTTCCAATGTCTTTATTCCTCAAACGCATGCAGATATTACTTAGCAGTGAAACCCTGGTGACGAATCCAAAAGTTATGACACTTCTTCTAACCCATGCAGACTTTCCTTTGACTGTCTCAGCCTTGAAGGAATTGATTTTGCCTCTAGAAGCTTTTTGAAGACTGGAAATGATCATATGAACAAAAATTAAACCATTCCACGAGATTGTAACTCAGAGGATGAATAATTTCATGAGATAGGGAGAATCCTTTTAACATGCCCGGTAAAAAAAAGCACAACATTGCATATGTTACCTTTGACTGCTGGGGTGGGGGTAACTCGCCAGTCTCGTGTTCTAAAGAGTCCCGAGTGCCTCGTGGGTAGCCAAAAAGGAAAAAAGGCAAATGTTGTAGAATTTGCCTCTACTAAAACAAAGCTTTCTTAATATGCAATCCACAACAGAAGTTTAGTTCTCAGATATGGAGAGTTTTCAGCATGCCTATTTTTTGCTGTATGTGTATGTAGCAAGTGTTTATGAAATTGATAGCATGAAAAATTGCAGTCTACTTAGCTCGTTATTTTTTGATCGAAAAAAAAAAGCTTGTCATTTGGGAATTATATGACGCATAGTTTTATTTAACCTATTTATATAACATAGTTCTCAGAAGAACCCAAACATACAATAGGTTCAATATTACCTTCTTAACTTTATAAGTTCGATTGACATCAATTAGTTTCACATCAAAACCCTGCCATCATTCGATCAAAATGTGAGTTATAATATGATATCAAAGGGAAGACAAGCATGCATGTGGGCAACTCACCACAAAATAACAGGTAAACAAAAATGGAGGACAAGCAAGAACATAGGCCAAGAAATTTCTCTAGAAAACAGGATGACCACAAACATGAAAATCAGGTACATAGAGAGCAAATTCACCACATGTTTGGAGTTTAATAACTATGATTATGCCAATTAGCTTTTGTTGCACAAGGCCGACATATATCAAATGATTTTATCACGTGTCAAGAGAAGCCACCTCTAACTATTTCGAGATGAATGAGTTTATTTCATCCATTTCAACATCTTCCTATTGAGCATATGCTTTTAGACAGTGAAATAATCTACACCATCAAAAATGGTGGACCTCATGGATATCAATGTATTAAGGTAATTAGTATTCCACAACCACACTCCAAATAACAATTTGCACTGCATCTATCCCACTTTAGTTGTATGCACATTATCCTTTCAATCCCCTCTCCCTTATTGATTGCCAATTTTGGCCTTATCTTAGTAATTTATGATCACATAACACCTACAACAACATAAAAGCTCTCTCCGTAGTTCTTGCAAATGGTTTATAAGATTTCTCTCTTGTCATTTAACCAAAAAGAATTTCTCTTATGTTAGTTAACCAAAAAGGATTTATCCTAAGTCCCCCAACTTGAAACCCAAAAATGGACATGCTTTACTGCATCAAACAGCCTTGTCCAAGCAGGCTCAACTAGGATGTACCTCTGTGTACTAAGTAAATTCAAAAATCAAGGAATGATAGGAATCAATCAACACATAAATGAGGAAACCTAGATGAACACCATCAATGTATTGTGCCATTCTTGTGAAAGTGATACATCAAGGACTCATCAACAAATGTAGAATGATTTGAGTAGAAATTAGAGGAGAAAAAAACCAAACCAAACTAAAATTTTCAATTCTTTGATGCACCAAGAGAAAAAGAACTTGTTTATGCATACCTTATGGTAAAAGTACTGGATAATGATTCATTAATCAAAACAAATGACAACCATTAGTTATGGTGAAACATTAAGTTAGGGGCCACAAACTGAGTGATCAGATTCATTTTACTTACTTTCCGGTAGATAAGTCTTCTCTTCTTCTCTGTCAATGAGTTGTTCTCCTCAGCAAGATCTCTTATCTACTCCTCAAGAAGCTTTCCTTTCTTCCTGAATGTATGATCCAACTCTACCAGCTTCTCTTCTAGTTTCTTGTCAATAGCATTGAGTTTCTCCAACAATATATCATCCTTCTCTTTCATGTCATTGAGCTCCTCCTCATCGTCCTTATCAAGTACAGCACCTTGTATGATTTGCTTTTCCTTTTCAAATCCGGCATGTTATAGAAGATCAACAGAGGGCCCTAATTGGTCAAGTTGAACGACTCCATAATTGGTGGGGTTATTTGGATCGTAAGCTTCATTCCACTCAACTAATCTGATGGCCTTGTTTAGCTTATGTTGAAGCAAGAATTTTTCCTTGCCAATGGCTTCTTTCAAACGATTCATCAACTCACCAATGACTTGATACTCCGGGCGGAGCCAGAATTGCTTTGCTCAAACTTATCACTTTTATTCATCCACTTGAAAACATCGTCAAGCATCTTTGGCCCCCAAAATAATAAAAATGGATAAAAAAAATTTAATTTTCGTGGTAGCAATGGACATACAATTTCAACATTTAGAAAACGAATGGATATCATACAAATTCAGGATGTGAGGAAAGTAAAAGGACTGAAACAACAGTTATAATATATTACCAGCATTGGTGAAGTTCTTGGGGAGCTCTTCCTACCGCTTGAACTTCTTCTCGAACTTGTCGGATCGCTTCTTAATGGCGTCAGGGGTGAAGCGTTCATCGCCGTCGTCGGTGTCTGAGTCAGTTGGCTCTTTGTAAAAGTTGAGGTTGGCACCAGTGTCTTTGAGTTTCTCCTTCTCAAGCTTCTCGATGATCGAGCCCACACCCATGTAATCCTCATAGTCCTCGATGTTGATATCGACAGTATCTAAACCCGCCCTTTTCCTCTCCTCTCTCCCTTCTGGTTTTCCCTCTCCACGTCCGCGAGAAGCTCTTGGATGGTTCTCGTCGAAAAAATGGAGAAGAATCGATTTCCAAGGAAACGAAATCCGTAGTGGAGGTGAGAATGGAAAATGGAAAGAGTTTGGAAATGATAAATGTTGGTTGTGGTGGTTGTCATTGGGGTGGTCGGAAAAGAATGGTGTAAAGTGGATAATGGTCGAGGATAAGAGGAAGAGGAGGAGGAATGGAGTCGTAATTGGGTGAGAATGAGATGAGACCATGACGATTGTCAAGATTTGCTGGTGATGATGGTTGATTCAGCCATTGCTATTGCTGCTTCCAAGGGCAACAATGCTTGAGTGTCAGATTCACCATTCGAGAGAGAAAGAGAGATGGAGTTTGTTTGGTAAACAAAATAGGCTGGAAGGGTGTAGTCCTTCGAGCCCGAGAGAGGAAAGCTAGGGTTTTAATCTTGGTCGATGATAATCCATGATCAAAGCCACACTAGACGGGCAAGTCACGTTTCTTTTCTAAACCTACACTGCAACAGTAGGTAGCAGACCGATTCGGATTCACTTTCTGGATTGGACGAGTTATTTGGGTCTGGGTTAGATTTTCTGGCACAATTGTGTATGCATTGGCCCCATTCTAAGGTGAAAATAGGAGTATGGGATGGGGTTGATGCTCCCTTGTTTTGTGTTGTCAAGTGCCAACATGACATGAGGGGGAGAAAGTGAAACACAAGGAAAAAATCATTCTTCCCCTTTTTCAATTATTGTAAACAAAAACATATATATTTTCATTTGGGCCCATTAGTATTGTTTTTTGATATATATTAACTCCTATTCACTATCATCTCACCATGAGCCTGCCCAGGGTGAACAATGGCTGCATTACGCAAATTAGCCTCATGAGCCTCCCGACCTGCCTTCTGCCATGAGCCTATTTCTGCCCGTACTTCAATCAGAGCTTGCCTCTCTTCCTGTAGAAGAGTCTGCTCAATCATTAACCTCTCCTTTGATCGGAACTCCCCAAGACCTCGCTTGCAAGAGATTATATTGCAGGCAAGGACCTTCTCAAATGTGGCTATAAATTCTGCAACTTTGGCAGCAATGTTGTGATCCCACGGCTGGGAACGGGAGAGCTTCTGGCCTGTCGTGTCAGAATCTAGGATTTATCATCCTCCTCGGCCTCATAGTCAGCAACTACATGGTAAGGTAATAGCCTGCAGAAAGTTTTTTAAATATTACCTTCGTTACTTTACAAGTTCGATTGACATCAATTAGTTTCACATTAAAATCATGCCATCATTCGATCAAAATGTGAGTTATAATATGATATCGAAGGGAAGACACGCCATGCATGTGGACAACTCACCACAAAATAACAGATAAAAAAAATGGAGGACAAGCAAGAACATAGGCCAAGAAATTTCTCTAGAAAACAGGATGACCACAAACATGAAAATCAGGTGCATAGAGAGCAAATTCACCACATGTCTGGAGTTTAATACCTATGATTATGCCAATTAACTTTTGTTGCACAAGGTCGACAAATATCAAATGATTTTATCACGTGTCATGAGAAGCCCCCTCTAACTACTCCGAGATGAATAAGTTTTTCATCCATCTCAACTTCTTCCTATTGAGCATATGCTTTTAGATAGTGAAATAATCTGCACCATCAAGAATGGTGGACCTTATGGACATCAATGTCTTAAGGTAATTAGTATTCCACAACCACACTCCAAATAACAATTTGCACTGCATCTATCCCACTTTAGTTGTATGCACATTGTCCTTTCAATCCCCTCTCCCTTATTGATCGCCAATTTTGGCCTTATCTTAGTAATTTATGATCACATAACACCTACAACAACATAAAAGCTCTCTCCGTAGTTCTTGCAAATGATTTATAAGTTTCTCTCTTGTCATTTAACCAAAAAGGATTTCTCTTAAGTCTCCCAACCTGAAACCCAAAAATGGACATGCTTTACTCCATTGAACAGCCTTGTCCAAGCAGGCTCAACTAGGATGTACCCCTGTATACTAAGTAAATTCAAAAATCAAGGAATGATAGGAATCAATCAACACATAAATGAGGAAACCTAGATGAACACCATCAACGTATTGTGCCATTCTTGTGAAAGTGATACATCAAGGACTCGTCAACAAATGTAGAATGATTTGAGTAGAAATTAGAGGAGAAAAAAACCAAACCAAACTAAAATTTTCAATTCTTTGATACACCAAGAGAAAAAAAACTTGATTATGGATACCTTATGGTAAAAGTAATGAATAATGATTCATTAATCAAAACAAATGACAACCATTATTTATGGAGAAGCATTAGGTTAGGGGCCACAAACTGAGTGATCAGACGCATTTTACTTACTTTCTGGTAGAGATGTCTTCTCTTTCAATGAGTTCCTCTCCTCAGCAAGATCTCTTATCTCCTCCTCAAGAAGTTTTCCTTTCTTTCGGTATGTATGATCCAACTCTGCCAGCTTCTCTTCTAGTTACTTGTCCATAGCATTGAGTTTCTCCAACAATATATCATCCTTCTCTTTCATGTCGTTGAACTCCTCCTCATCGTCCTCATCAAGTCCAACACCTTGTATGATTTGCTTTTCCTTGTCAAATCTGGCATGTTCCAGAAGATCAACAGAGGGCCCTAATTGTTCATGTTGAATGACTCCATAATTGGTGGGGTTATTAGGATCGTAAGTTTCCTTCCACTCAACTAATCTGATGACCCTGTTTAGCTTATGTTGAAGTAAAAATTTGTCCTTGTCGGTGGCTTCTTTCAAACGATTCATCAACTCACCAATGACTCAATACTCCGGGCGGAGCCGGAAATGCTTTTGCTCAATCTTATCAATTTTATTCATCCACTTGAAAGCATCGTCAAGCGTCTCTGGCCCCCAAAATTAAAAAAAAGGATAAAAAGAAATTAATTTTCGTTACAGCAATGGACATACATTTTCAACATTTAGAAAACGAATGAATATCATACAAATTCAGGATGTGAGGAAAGTAAAAGGAATGAAGCAGTAGTTATAATATATTACCAGCGTTGGTGAAGCTCTTGAGGAGCTCTTCGTGCCACTTGAACTTCTTCTTGAACTTGTCAGATCGCTTCTTAATGGCGTCAGGGGTGAAGCGTTCATCGTCGTCGTTGGTGTCCGAGTCAATGGCCTCTTCGTACAAGTTGAGGTTGACATCGGGGTCTTTGAGCTTCTCCTTCTCGAGCTTCTCGATGATCAGGCCCACACCCATGTAATCCTCTTCATCCTCGGCGTCGATATCAGTAGTATCTAAACCCATCCTTTTCGTCTCCTCTCTCACCTTCTGTTTTTCCCTCTCTACGTCCGCAAGAAGCTCTTGGATGGTTCTCGCCGAAGAAATGGAGAAGAATCAATTTCCAGGGAAATGAAATCCACGACGGAGGTGGGAATGGGAAATGGGAAGAGTTTGGAAATGACAAGTGTTGGTTGTGGTGGTCGTCATTGGGGTGGTAGGAAAAGAATGATGTAAAGTGGATAATGGTCGAGGGGAAGAGGAGGAGGAGGATGAGGAATGGAGTCGTAGTTGGGTGAGAATGAGGTGAGACCATGACGATGCTTGAGATTTGCCGGTGATGATGGTCGATGCAGCAATTGCTATTGTTGCTTCATCCAAGGACAATAATGCTCGAGTGTCAGATTCACCATCCGAGAGAGAGAGTTTGTTTGGTAGACAAAATAGGATGGAAGGGTGTAGTCCCACGACCCCAAGAAAGGAGAGTTAGGGTTTTGATCTTGGGCGATGATAATCCATGATCAGAGCTACACTAAACAGGCAAATTGCGTTTCTTTTCTGAACCTACACTGCAACAGCAGGTAGCGGACGAGTTTGGGTTCACTTTCTGGATCGGACGAGTTATTTGGGTCTGGGTTAGATTTTCTGGCACAATTGTGTACGCATTGGCCCCATTCTAAGGTGAAAATAGGAGTATGGTATGGGGTTGATGCTCCCTTGTTTAGTGTTGTCAAGTGCCAACATGACATTAGGGGGAGAAAGTGAAACACAAGGAAAAAATCATTCTTCCCCTTTTTCAATTTTTGTAAACATAAACATATATATTTTCCTTTAGGCCCATTAGTATTATTTTTTGATATATATTAACTCCTCATATTCACTATAATCTCACCATGAGCCTGCCCAGGGTGAACAATGGCCGCATTACGCAAATTAGCCCCATGAGCCTCCCGACATGCCTTCTGCCTTGAGCCTATTTCTGCCCACACTTCAATCAGGGCTCGCCTCTCTTCCTGTAGAAGAGCCTGCTCAATTATTAACCTCTCCTCTGATCGGAACTCCCCAAGATCTCGCTTGCGGGAGATTATATTTAAGGCAAGGACCTCCTTCTCAAATGTGGCCGTAAATTCTGCAACTTTGGCAGCAATGTTGTGATCCCACTGCTGGGAGCGGGAGAGCATCTGGCCTGTCATGTCAGAATCTAGGATTTATCATCCTCCTTGGCGTCATAGTCAGCAACTGCATGGTAAGGTAATAGCCTGCAGAAATTTTTGTAAGACAAATGGAAATTATGAAGTCTGAAGATATCCTTCCCCAAGCAAAAAAATTTACAGCACAACAGATCTTCCGGTTCGAAATTTCCATTACTTGTTCAACCAAAGGCACGTGTTACAAGCAATTAACTAATAACAATCAACCAATATGCCAAGTACCGCCTCGCTTGATAGATGACATGTATTAAAAACAATCTAGGTGCCAGAGATGCAATTCTTCTATGAAATTGTTTCAAAATATAAACAACCAGACAATACAGACTACTAACCTCACCAGATTCCATAACTAAATGGAAGCTAACAGTATTCATACCAGCAAAGAACGAGTAAACATCGTCACGCAAATAATTTTCAGGTATGAAATATTTTTTTATGACACAATGTCTCTTATTTTGCCAAGAAAAGTGGTTTCAAGAGGCACAAGTGACAAGCAATACATAAAAACATATCCTGATTCGTAGAGCAAAAGACATATCACATTCTACTTGTCTCCCACTCCCCTTCTTCTTCCTTCCCTGCTGTAAATAACATGCTTAATCTGAATCTTCTTGCAACACAAAGAATTAGAACCAACAAGATAGGACTCTAGAGCTCAAACACGACACCCTCCCCTACTAAATAAAAGGAGAAAGCTAAACATAAGACATAAGTTAGTTCTACCCAAATACATGGAAACTAAAATTATGAGCTTGTGATTATGGTATCCAGTAGTTAGCCTTCCCATATGATAGAGCAAGAGATTGAACTACACAGCTGGATCATCCTGGAAGATGAGCTTCAAGAATGTAGAAGTGTATTCTTAAATACTTTCTTAACAATAGCTAAGATTCACATAATCTAAAGCCTACACCAACCAGCACGAGCCAGAAAGAGCATTGAAGGATAAACATGGATTACAAGCAAATTATTTAAGTGATCACTGGGCTTCACAATCAAACATATAATAAAGTTGCTGCTGGAAGCAATAGATAAGATATTCCTGGAAGGGACCAACTGGACATCCTTCAACATCTTAGAATTGGGTCAACCAACTGACATAACTTACATGAAGTTCTTGACAGAAGGAAAAAGGTGACTTTTCAATTCCAAGCAAATGAATATAACATTATATACATCTTTCTTTTCCCAAATAAGAAACAACAGAACTCTTCCCAAGCTACTT